TTTTTTCTTTTTACTCAAACTATGCTTGCTTTATGATAGTCTCTGAGTAATCTGACTGTGTTTTTGTAAAGTGTTGTCACTCAGCTGATAGAACACATGGTCTACGAGGCCTGTTAAGCGACAGAATTGACAATGATGTCAGCACAGCTATGGTTGAAGCTTTTCGAAGAGGTGACTCCCTCTTGCTTCGTGTCGAGGCAATACTTCACCGGAGATATTTATAATTACAACAGACATGACATTTCAAATTTTTTAGAGAACCTTTCGAAAAACTCATTGGTTACATTGAAACTGAACTTGATAATTCGTGACTTGTGTTTCAGAAAACCTCCTCAAGATGCTGTGCTTAATGACATGAAGTGTTTTAGGCTATAAAAGCAATCAAGGCCCTTTTTTGTCTGAACCAGTGGAGCCAGCTAATTTAAATTTAAACACATAATTATTTTAGGCTGTACATTAATATAGAAATGTAGCCTTCTCAGATATTCACAAAAACATGTTTCGTGATTTTTTTTTTTCATTTTCAACAAAAGAGTCTGGGGTGGATATAGATGAGGTTTACCACCAGCTACACCAGCAATGACCCGCATGGCCTCCGACAACAATTGAGCCTATTGCTGTTTGAGAGATGAAAATGGCTATTAGCCGCTGCTGTGTGTACCGGTAAAGAAGCTGCCGCCTGTGGCACTGACGCCCCCGCAGATTTGACATTTTGGTCTGCCTGGGTGAAAAGAAAGGTTACAGGTTCAAGAGAAGGAAAAAAAAAAAAAAAAGCTCTAAAGCGCTCCAGCATGTTTGTGCTCCTGCACATAATTAATTCATTGAGAATAAATCAAGTCTCCAAATGTCTACCCTGGGCTGTTTTAGTTTTTCCATTTTGTTACTTACTCTATTTCTAGGGTTTCATCACAGAGGGGTGCACAGACATTTTTGTTAACTCAATTTAATGAGAATAGCTGCAAAATGCACATTTTTTCTAACAACCAGATTGTTAAAAAGACTGCTTGCGCCATGATTGGCCTGCACGTGATCATTTGTCTTTAATCATCTCTCATAGATAAAAAAGATCAAAACTTAAAGAAGCAAAACAGGATGTGGAGATGAAAAGTGAATTGTGTAATAAGAAATGTGGGATTACGTCACATGAGATGATTGAATTGCAGTGATTACATTTCACACGATACAATCGTAGTCTGATGCTCAGAGATTTCTGCATGAGGTTTGCGTCCTGTGAAATACACTCAGTTTCCTTAGATTGTTAGATGACACGTAGGGAGTGTCAAGATGTGTGGAAGGGAGTAAGGAGAGGAACTCAAACCAAAAGGAATCAGGAGGGCAGAATAGGAGGATCTGTCATGGCATGAACGGTACGGAGAGGGAGAGTGATTAATCGAATGTGGAGCAGGTGAGAAACGTGAATAAAGGTGGGGAAACAGGAAACAATCCATCCATTATCGTAACCACTTATTCCCTATTGGGGTAATGGGGGGAATGGAGCCTATCCCATTGTCAGTGGGTGAGAGGCGGGGTACACCCTGGATGGTCCACCAGTCCATCACAGGGCCACACAGAGACACACAACCACGCACACTCACATTCACTCCTATGGGCAATTTGGAATGTCCAATCAACCTAACATGCAGGTTTTTGGACTGTGGGATATTACAACTGTACGTCCAACTATCTTCTGGCACCCAAGAAAGAGTACATCTTCGTGTGGTACAGCAAAAGGAGAACAACCATTTTTGCCCTTTAGGTCTGCAAACTCTCACATATTGCGTGCATGCATGGTGTGTTGCACAATCTGGTTCATAAACTGCAGAAAGGATGCAATCAAAAGAAGGGCCGCACAAACTACAATGACAAAAGTCAATGGGAGGCAGAGCGGGAATCAAAACCACGTTATCCACTGTTAGATTTACTGCCTGAAAAAGACTGAAATCCTGGTGTGCTTGCATGTCTTTGTGTTTGACTGAAAGAGTGCCTTGATTACCTTTAATCAGAGCCCAGGCTGGTTTAATTGGGCTGGTTTGCGAACCTGAGCGAAAGAGGATCAGTTGCGCATGGTGTGGTATGGAAATATGTGGAGGTAACTTTTTCCCCTTACTCTAAAGAATAAAGAAACATTCAAATGATTATGAATAAACCGTATGTCGCAGCCTTCGACATACGGTTGGATATAGCTGGTGACTATTATTACTTGGCAGTGGATTGCCCCATATGGTATTGATTTTTAATAAAATGAATGAAAAAAATGCAACTCTTAATTACTGTGCAAAGTTTCAATCTTCATCCTCAGTTAAACACCATGAAGTCAAATGTGGGAAAACCCCCAAATAATCTAAACCTTGACAAGATCTCGTCTAGAAATGTGCACTGTAGAACATCAAGTGCCTGAAGCCCAGAATTCTTTCAAGGCTCAGGCTGACATGATGAACATTAGAAAAAAAGACAATTTGCACTCGCATATCACCCGACTTCCAAAATGGGAGAAAAAACTAAACTGACAGATTCAGTCATTTCTAAGATCAGAGGGATGAACCTCTCTCTCTTCTCTTGAAGTGCTGCAGACCTGTGCAGTGGGAAGCTTCCTGTGGCGGGTGGATGGTGACAGAGCCAAGAGATGAAATGGTTTAAAGCGAGGGTGTTCATGACGCTCTGATGCAGACATACTGATCTTCATCAGAGCATGAAACAAACGGCAGGTCAGACATTTGAGTATCATGTCTTCAGGATGCTGGTTAGCCCCATCGCCTCACAGCACGAGGGTTCTGGGTTCGAGTCCTCGGGGGAAGCGAGACCTTTCTATGTGTTTGCATGTCCTCCCTGTGTATGTATGGGTTCTCTCCGGGTTCTCCAGCTTCCTCTCACAGTCCAAAAACCTGCATGTTAGGTTGACTGGACACTCCAAATTGCCCTTAGGAGTGAATGTGAGTGTGCATGGTTGTTGGTCCTTGTGTGTCTCTGTGTGGCCCTGCGATGGACTGGCGGACTGTCCAGGGTGTACCCCCAGCCTATCATCCATCCATCCATCCATCCATCCATCCATCCATCCATCCATCCATCCATCCATCCATCCATCCATCCCATCCATCCATCCATCCATCCATCCATCCATCCATCCATCCATCCATTTTTCCAAACCGCTCATTCTCAAATGGGGTCGTGGGGGGACTGGATCTTTCCCCAGTATTCAAAGACTTCCACTTGAATTCCGTAACTGTATCAAAAACCTACTGAAGCCTGTAACGAGGGAATCTATAAGACTGGGCTCAATCTGCATTGTGTTGTTTGTCAGGTGTGTTTTTAGTCAAAAACAGCAAACATGGCACTGAGCATTCCAAAATGATCCATACCGCCCATCCCCGATAGGGTCGGAGCCTATACCAGCTGTCATTGAGGTGGGCCACCCCCCGGATGGGTCATCAGTCCAAACCAGGATTCTCTTAAAGAATTAGAGCGGCTGGCTGACATACCTGGCGCACAATGTTTCGACTCTCTTTTTACTTTGTTAGTCAGCAGACTTTTCAGACATATGACACAGACAAGTCTCAGAGAAAATGAAAAGGTTTCACAATGTGTCGGGTTGAACTTTAATGGATCCTTCATTTCTCGTTTCCCAAATGAGTCAGAGTCCTCTGACATTTACATGCGTACGCCCCCTCCTCTCCCACCCTCCCACCCCGTCATGGCGTCACGGGGTGCGGCTCACATTTTGAGAAACACTGAACTGGGCCCCCTCACCCAGGACTTGTTGGAGTGTTCACGTGTATCTTTTCTCCCTACATTTCTGAACTAAAATGGTGTTTTGAGACTTTTGACTCACACTGTTTATCTCACCAAGGATCACAAGAGATATTACGCTTATCTGACCATTTGCATCAGCATCAGATGATAGTTTAGGTGATGCAGATGCATTGAAAAACACAACCTAAGTCAAACATTCAGTTTTGTTGGAGGACAGTAGTTGAAAAATTGGATTAGAACTTGACTAAAGCAGGCTGGATTTAGATGGAATTACATTTCAAATTGTGCCCTGATATTACAAGTTATCAGCATACAAATAAACTGAGCCAAATTCTGAAATAACTGACTTGAGGTTAACTGAAATATGGGCACATTTTATTAAAAGAGTGCTTTGACACTGCTGCTCACCAAGAAACTTTTCAGCCCCAACTTAAAAAAATGATATCATACTGCATAAAAGCAAGTTTAGGCCTGATTTATTTCTACCAAAAAATAATGTCTATTTTCTAAATACATAGGTTTATCTTTGGTTGTGTTTCCTTTCTTATTTGGTCAGGTTGACTTGTGCTTTATCAACCAAAGTTGCAGCGGTGGACAGAGGAAATCTGAAAAGAAGCTGCCTTAATAAGGAATAACAGGTTTTGCTCCACCTTTTAAGATAACTGAATAATAGATGTGTGATTCTTTCTCAACAGCTAAGGCTTTACTGATCAATGTGAGAAAATTGTGTTATCGAGCACTTGCTTTTAAAAAGGGCTTAGACATGTTGCATCAATATCATCACTGACATACAACAGAGAGCTGGCTTAGTTTTAAATCAAATATACAGAAATGATCTGTGAGTGTGCAGTAATCTCACAACCTTCCCAATTAAATGGAGAGGTTTGATGGAATTTTTACTTTATCCCTGATTAAGGTAGTGGTTCATACCCTCTTTAGAAAAAAAGGGAAACCAACAATAGATCAGATTAAATGAGAGTGCTTTAATATAGTTAGACATACCACAAACAGAACCACAAGGTGATGCATGAATGTCCAAATTATTTACAGTGATTTCTTATCTTTACAAGTGTTTTCTGCAGATAATAAAGAAACATCAAAAACATGATAGTGTAGTTTATTTTACATCAAGCTCACGACAGTAATCAACGAGGGTTTGTACTGTGGGTCACAAACGAGAAACCAGCTGACAACAAAGGTCGAACCTGCTGTTAGAAATAGAGAAATTGTTAACATCATTTGAAAATATATCACTACAACATCTTCTCCTCTCTCTCCCACGGGACCGGATCGTGCTCATCGTCCACGTGCGTATTTCTGCGCCCGGTCCAAAAGTGCTCCACGTCGGGGAAAGTCTTCTCCTTTTCCTGGGAGACGGCGTTGGCGACGGCGTTCGCTCCGGCCTCCGGCCCGTTCCCCTCCGTTTTGGGGCACCCTTCGCAGGACGCGCGCTTCTTGCCCCTGCAGGTGAAGACCAACCAGATGGCGACCAGTCCCCGGCGCACGTCGTCGTACATGGTCATCAGGATGACCGGGGACAAAGAGCTGCACGCGTAAAGGAGGATTTGCGCGAACATCAGCAGCCCGACGGGAGGTTTGTTGTACCCGAGTCTGATCCAGGTGAACGTCCCCCACTCCGGCAGCAGCATGAGCCCCAGCTCGCCGCTTAAACACAGCAGGACGAGGATAACCTTGCTCTGGTGCCGCGGGCTTGGCGCGTGGTTCACCGCAGTGTAAAGCGTCTTGGTGTAATAGGCGAGCGTAAAGATGACCGGCAATGCGAAAGTAACAGTTGGATAAATCTTGTAGAACAAACTCATAAACGCAGAGGCACACACTGGCATCTCGGAGACGCAAATAGTCTCGCTGCCATATGGAACCAAGGAGGCGAAAAGCATCTGCGGGATCGAAAACATCATGGAGACGATCCAAACGGACATCAGGGCTCCGTGGATCCACGTCGGGCTGTAGAGGGGTCCCGCGTCCGTGCGCGGCACCAAGTTGTGTTTGGCTCTGGTGGTGACGGCGAGGATTAAAGTTTTCGCGACCACGCACGAGTGCTGGAACCAGTCCGTGGTGCGGCACACGAAACCCCCCAGCGTCCAGCTCTGCTTGTAGTAGGTGAGGGCGCGCACGGGAGCGCACAGCAAAAGGATCGCCAAGTCCGTGGAGGCCAGCGAGGCGAGGAGCGCCTTCACCTCCGAGCCCCTCCCGTTTCTGAAGTCGCGGATGAAAATCAGCAGCACCAGCAAGTTTCCCACCGCTCCGGACACGCAGATCCCGATCAGGAGGACCGGCACGGCCGTCCTGGTGTCCTCCCACTGGAGAAGCTGCACTCCTCCGACGAAATCAAAGAAGGAAACGTTGGCCGGTCGCTCAATATCCATCCTCTTTGGTGTGACGTTGAAAGTTTAGGTTATGGAAAGATAAAATAAACTGTCTGCAAATAAAAAACAACAACTTTCTCCTTCGGGAATGTTGGAGGGGGGGAAAAAAAGCGAGCAGAGGAGCTGTCCAGCGCGCCCTGGTGCTGAAAAGCTACTGAGGTCGGTTCGTGTGCGAGCGGGCTGCCAGGTGGAGACTATTTCAAGAGCTGCCATTTAGCGTCGTCAACCACTCACGTCACTCCGTCACCGTGTCTCCAAGCTGCGGCGAGCCCGAATGGGAACCCAGTGTGTTGCGATTTACACTCATAGTCTCAGGAGGACAAGAGTGGTGCAAAAGTGTTTAAATTGTGCCACGCTATAAAATGTCTTTATATAAACTGTGGAGTTTCAACCAGAATCATTTGACTCTTTACAATGATTCGAAATAGCCTTCTTTCACTTTTGAAATAGCTCTAAAATGGGAACATCCTGTCCCAGAGTGATGCAAAAATTCTGCTTCTCACAAATAAAGCTCTGAATGGGCAAAGCTCATCATATCTTAAAGACCTCATCATTTGATCTTTTCCCAACAAAGCACATTACCCTCAGTCTGCAGATCTACTTGTGGTTCCTAGTTTCTAAAAGCAAAATTGGGGGCCAGTTACCAATATTTGTCCAGGATACAGACACCCACCCTCTCTATCTTCAAGATAAGGCTGGAACAGCATATTGTTGATAACACTGTCTATCCTTTATACCCCTTTATCATAGATGAGACATTGTTATTGTCATTAAGTTGTGTTTTCTGTAGTGAGGTGTCCACGCTAATATGCTGGGTTTGGTTTTCTTAATCAGGTTTCCTTTGATGACCTAATGTTTCCATACTATTTGCCATGAACTTTACCCTTTAACTTGCTCACTCAGGGGCTGCACAGTGTTAGCGGTGGTTAGCACTATTGCCTCACAGCGAGAGGGTTCCTGGTTTAAATGCCTGAAATGGGCACCTGTGTGGAATTTGTATCTTCAAAAGAATCATGCTGGGTTAATTACTAGTAGTACATATATAGAATCCTATCCTATAGAACCCTAATTCAAACGTAAAATCTTTACAAAAACCCACTCACTACTTACATCTAACTTTCATTATTTAACCCATAACAACATCTGTCATGCTAGATTTAAAATAGAGTAATCGATTGAATAATTAGCACTACATTGGGTAAAAAGATTAGGTTAATAGTGCATTGGGGATCATTTTCATATCATTATAAATATATTATTGATGTGATTCTCCTAAAAAAAAAAAAAAAACAATATTGATACCTCAACATCCCACCCAGGACAAACACTTTGCCTTAAACTTCTCTAGATTGTCTTTGAACCGAATAATAATGAATTGATCCGTGATGTAGTTTCCAATCACTGGAAAATGCGACAACATATACGTGTATGGTACCTTCGCATGCCTCACTGGAAGCAGAAGAGACTCAGATCTGCCAAAAGTCTTAGCTTTGGAGCAAAAAAAAAAAGCTCCAATGCAGATAAATCCAGGTTAATTATCAGGCCGATGGGCTGTGCAGCGCATCAGAGCACAGAGCCCAAAGCCCCACAGAGTGAGGTGTGTTTACTTGACTTGAAGAGCATCCGGATGGTGAAGGGGAGGGTGGTAGTTGGGGGGAGGGGGGGTGGGCTTGGTGGGGTAGGGGGTTCGAATGTGGAGAGGTGAGGGTGCCCACTCAAACGCTGTCACCTCCTGTAAGAGCTGCAGTTGCTAGGAGACTGGCACTACCATCACAGCATGTGGTGAGGAAGATGTGAGGTCTCATGAAGGAGTGTGAGGTATGGGTGGATAGAGAGGCTTTCAAGGGACTCCGAAGCTTCAGATCTTGGTGAATGATCACTTACAGCGGTGTGATTGCGGGGCGGGAAAAGGCTCGGCTGTTATTTAGGGGGGGATGATATCATAACACAAGCAGGGGTGCAACCCTCATGGTATGCGGTAATCAGGGATATTTCATATGTGGTGAACTGTGCCGGGCCAAGAGTAGGAGCGGGCGGCATCTATTACTAATTACACCCCCTGGAAGTCAGTAGAGCGTGAACATCTACACGAACATTTGAATTTACCTGACTTCGGATTTATTTCAGACCTCATATTTTGAATGAATGGATGTTTAAAAAATCCGATCTTAAGTAGGACTAAGGCTCAAAGTACTTCACCTAAAAAGAATACATGTAGCATGAAACCTAATCATGATATAAGATAAGTGGAAAAGTTGAGTACAGTACAATTAACAGGGATATTACACACACCTCTGACCCTCTGCAGTCTATATACCTTAGCTGATGCCTTCATCATCATGATATCCAACCGACGACTTTTGAAATCATCAGAAAAAAATGGTTAACTGACTAAATCTGTGAGCTACCCAAACTTATTTGCCCCCCGGCAATACTATTTGATGGGAAAAAAGTAATTTCAATTACAAGACTATAAAGAGAGCGCAACCTTAAAAGTCAAAGCCACAAACCCAAACTACTTTTTATAAATGGTCTAACCCTTTAAGTGGTTTATCCTTTTTTCCCCCCAGCCATTGGTGTCTATGCTAGCAAATCCTTAGCGTTGGTTACTGATCCTTGTGTTTGTTGAAGATATCTTTTTTAAAATTCTGAAATTAATATCTAAGTGTTTTTCAGAGGGTTATAAATTGGTTTCCAAACTGGAGTTGTATCCGTGCAAAGCAATCCTCCACTCTGTGCCTTTTGAGGGCCATTCAGATTTAAATGGTTGCAGCCTCATCTTGGAGCAGAAGAAGAAGATCTCTTCCCTGCATGTAACATCATTTTTTGGGGAAACAACCCAGACCAATTGAGCCGAGATGAAGCTAATGTCTCTCTGTCCTCCACTCAGCTCCTTGTCTCGCTCGGCATCGTGAGAGAGCTGGATTCCTCACATCCCCCCCCAGGGGGAGGTTTAGCAGAGCCAGAGAAATGCAGAATAACAGTAAAAGGAAATGAATGAGAGGAGGGAGGGCACAAGGACAAAAAGCCAGAGCTCGCTGAAAGTCTAAATGAACTCGAGTAATGTTCCCCTTTGGAGATGTTCCCGGGGAGAAACAAAGCTGGAGTACTTTTGCATCCACGGGGATGTCTGCTCAAAAGCGGGCCTCGGTCTGTCCCAGATCCCTTAATGCAGAGGCGCTTTTTACAGTGCAAGAGACAGCAAATGCATTTCATTCAGAAAGATGAAGGGTCTCCCTGGTTACGCGCGGTCGTGCTGTTGCTCCGAGAAGTGATTAGCAAACAGTTGGTAATATTGCAACCCTGTTTATACATGAAAACTGACGGCCGCCGACACCGAGCCTGCGTCTTCGGACACCCCAAACGGGCGAGTTACCACGACAACCCCCTCGGACAACGCGCCAAGCTCCGCAGGCTTCGGGGAAAACGGGTCCCTCTCTGCTCTTTAACCGATCCAATTTGTTGGCGCAAGGCCCTGCGAAGAGCTGCAGGAAACATCATTATCTTCATCACTGTTTTGTTAATTTGAAGTCAGGCATCATGCAACGAGATAAATGACTCCCTTTAGGAAAAGGGCAGACTCCTGCCTGCAAAATAGCAAATAATTAATGTCAGGCTTTTTTATAGTCAGAGGGAAGTGGGGGGAGGGGGGGGGGGGGGGCGGATGGAGATGCAGGCTTTAATCATAAATGCATTGGGGGGAAAAAAACACTGAGTGAATGCCTGCCAAACGTGACATGGACAGGTCCTATGTACATTCTGGCATTTGTGGTGTAATACCTGATCTGGAATCATTGGCTGTTTGTTTAGCTTGTGTCTGAATGTCAGCTCTGCTGCCTGCCGTGCGCCTGCTGCTGACTGTCA